CTCTCCCTCTCCTGTCGTCTTCCCCCTTGGAGGCAGTAATTGTGGCCTTTTATTGACTATTAATATTTAAATCATTATAAATTACATTATACTGTTGTGGTGTATTTAACATACAGTCAAGTGTACTGTCATATCTATTATGCAACACAGCTAAACCAGCATGTTCCAAGAACAGACTAGCAAGAGGCACTCAAAGGCCAAGTATTTCTTAGTTCTTATTTCATATTTCTTATTTTCTTATATCTGAAAAACAGCATTTCGGTGTTTTTCAGGAAAATTTTAGACGTGAAATCCCAGTCCCAAGGAAGTTAACTATAGTGTCTGCAGTGTGAAATGCTCCAGAGTGTTAAAGGAAACAACGTAAGCTTGAGCAAAACATGACACAGTCATGTTGCCTGTTGATAAAAAGGACTAGTATCACGGAGCAACAGAAACCCAGTTATATATGTCAGCGGTTTTAAAATGTTACTTTTAAAGTCAGATGAAGGAACAAGAAACTAGCACTAAACTAGTTTGAATACTCAATTGATCACTAAACTAGTTTGAATACAAAGACTCCATTGAGACAGTGCCCTAACTCCTTGAAAGTAATTGCTTTTACCAACTGTGTAACTATTGGTTTGGCAACTGTGCATTCCTACTGATAAGAAATCTATAAGCTTCCATACTGTTCCAAAACAAAAAAATCAGCTTATTCCAGACTTCCGCAATGCAAATGACTTCCATCTTCTGCATCGTCTAATAAAAGATAACTGCTCCTATGACAAATCTTACCACAACAGGATCTTAAAAAAAATAGCTAACATATGGTCATCCTCAGACATTAGGATTAATTAAACATTATTAACCATCCTTAACAAAGAAGAAATTTAAAAGCAAACTTTAAAAATCAGATATTCTAATTTTATTTATAATTTTATTCTCTAAACAGCTCAGTTTCATTAGAAAGTCAATAGACTTTATTGTGTTTAATTGCTGCATTGTAGCTATTCTCTAAGACAAATTTCTGGAAAGGTTATTTGGAGACTTTCCTTCGACTTTGAAAGCAAATTTCATTTTATTTATGTACAATTTTGTTTTCTGCAGCTCTGCTGGAAGGAGTAACTGCTATTTTGTATTGGATACTCAATTCCTGCATTCTCACTGCGAGCTGTACAATGTAGCCAACAGCTACGGAGAGTAAATAAACACTGCTGTTTAAAATGTGAAATGTATTAATCTACAATAGCCAAAACTTATAAAGAAGCTGGGGACCTTGATCTAGTGATCCACGGGCCAAATAAGTTTGTAAAATAATTCCCAGCAATGAATACATTCACTGAGAGCTGCTCAGAAGCAAAAAAATTAAAAGGAAAAAAAAAGAGGAAGAAAAAAAAGGAAGTGAGGAAAAAAAAACCCGCAATCACTCAACATGAGTGTTTTTTCCTGCTAAAAATAGCCCTCTTGAATCATGTCTCCTATAAAACACTTTTTAATACAGTCTTCAAAAAATGACTGCATGGGGCAGAAAGCACCAGAGTGTTTTCTAAAGCTTTTCCCTTGCCCCTGCAAGAACATTTCTCTGAACCACCAATTTGTATATGAAAAGCGTGTTTCTTTGTAGATTTCGCTTGCTAGCAGCCGTGTCATTCTTCAGCTCCTGGAAACCTCAAGCCTGTTAACAGCATTAATGCGCTTCCCAGGCAGTCTTTGAACATGTGCTGCTGCAGATTAGCAGTGTGCATGTCACCCAGGAACGAGGTGAGCGTGGTGGCAGGGCTGCCTTTCGGCACAGCGGTGATTAGGCACAGTCTGGCACTGGCCAGAGCTATTACCAGCTCATCCCACAGTTTCTATTCTCAGCCTGCTTCCACTGCCTGCAGAGTGTGCTCGAGATACCCAAGCTCTGGGGATGGGTGAAAGCCAAAACCAGAGAAAAGCATCCTTGCATTTTGTTATTTTATTTTGTTTTGTTTTGTTTATTATTATTATTTTTTAACCACTACAACAGATGTACATATGTGAGCTAGCACTCTGGGAAGGTTCTTCTTTTTTTTTATTAAAGCGTGGTTTACTTGGAAGGAACTAGTTTTGCACAACAGCAGAAAATACATTTTGCTTTTTAACCACAAGCCACACACAACACACTTTCAGCACTGTTACTCACGGTCTCATCCTTGGCACCACTCCATAGGACAGAGAAAAACCAAGACCCCTTTTCTAAGGCTCCTTCAGAACTTGCTCTTGTTTTCTGAACCTTCTGAGAAGAAAAAGACTATTCAGTTTGAATTGAACTGGCTAGGTCACCAACTACCAGACCATGGTGGCTCATGATGGCTAAGGCAGGCATGCCATCCTCAGGAAAACTACCTGTTTCATTCAGCAGGCACTAAAGATGACCTGCTTCACATTTTCGTTTCAGCTAGTTAATAACAAAAACTGCTTAAAGAGCTCCCTGGGGTGGCAGATGGTCCACAGTAGGGGAAGCGGTCTCTTTTTGCCCTCTTAGTAATGTACAGCCTACTGTAGATTATTAACAGTATATAGAATATTATTAGTATGACCCTGTGTTTTTAAACTAACATTAGCCGCATTTTAAGGTATCAGCTTGTGTCATACTCAGCTGCTCAGTTACTTTTTGTGCACTGCAGAACTATAACCAGTCAAAACCCATCTTATAGCACTGTGAACCTACTTGCTGAGCAATGCAGTTTTGGGGGCTGTACAAGCACATTTACTCTTGAGCTTGACTCATTTTGTGAATTGCCAAAATATGGTCACCTGAACATTAGTCAGCCTCATTTCTGGGCGCTGCTGTTGGTTTTGGTACTTTTGTGTAAAAGCAGAGCTGATTGATAAACTTCATGCTCTTTGTTATAAAAATACTTTAGCTGTGAGGTGAGAGTTAGCCATGGTCTGCTAAGTGTGAAAGATGTATGTAATACAGGGAAAAGAGAGGTTGGAAGAGATTGGGAGTACCCACACAGGTACTTCAAAGCTTCTTTGGGAAAAATTAAACTATTTTTACTCCTGAACACATCTTGAAGCAAGCTTGGAGACTATGGCACTTTCAGATTACTCTAATCCCAAAGAACAGCCTAAAAATGGGATAAGTCTGCAATTCTCTGTAAAACTGCAGCATAGTAGGACTTCAGAAATGAAAAACTTGAGAGTAGTAAAACAGAGAAGTCGGCGTTGCTGCCAGGCACTGAGGGGAAGCGTGTGTAGAGTCAGGGCCGGCAGCCACTACGGCTGGGGGGGACCCG